TACTGAGTGCTCTTGATCACCACACACATTTGAGGGTAATGAAAGCTTGCCTTGATTTCCTGATCCTCGCTTTGAAATCCTCGTCAGCTCCGTCCGCCTGTTGCTTCCCATGTCGGTAGGTAAAGGAGGTTGATTCTTTCTGCCATTTCTACTGATTGCTTTTGGCCAGGACTCTTCATCATCTCTGTATTCTCTCTATTCACCAGAAGGCCTATCTTCTCTGGATGTTTCTTCTGTCAACTTGTTGCTTTTCACTTGCATATCTTCCAGTTTGCGGGAAATCAGATATGCATCATCGGCGAAGTCTAGATCCTTCAAGTCTTTTGTGTGAGTCTATTTTATGCCTGTTTCCTTGTTGCCCGCTATCTGTTGCATTATTTAGTCTACTGTAATCAGGAAAATCATTAGAGATAGCGGGCAGCCAGCTTGTCTTACTCCTGACTTCACTTCGAAGGATTCCGTGATTTTCCCATTGTGGATTACTTCGCATGCAGCACTGTCGTACAACTGTTGGATGAGGTGTATAATTATCGGCAGCACCCCGTAGTAGCGAAATAGTTTCCAAATCACCTCTCAATCGATGCTGTCGAAGGCCTTTTCAAATTCGACAAAGTTGAGGTGAACAGCTGACTGACTGCCATTCCAAACTCTGTTCAATGATGATCCGAGGTTTTGTGATTTGATCGATGCATGACTTGTTTCTCTCGAATCCAGCCTATTCCGGTCAAATTTTTACATACGAGGCGTGTTTGATTCTCTTCAGGATGATTCGGGTTAGTATTTTGCCTGGGATAGACATGAGAACAATGCGGCGCCAATTCTTGCATTGACTTCAGTCATTAAGTCTCTTTTCTTTGATAGTTTGAATAATTAGCCTTTCTTCCAATCCTCGGGTACCTTTCCCTCTTTCCACTCCTTCATCAGTAGTGTTGTCATCAAGTCCGCTGATGTCTGCGAGTCCATTTTCAATGCTTCTGCGGGGATTCTGTCTGGTTCTGGTGCAGCTTTTCCAGGTTTTAGCAGATTTATTGCCTTCAGGATTTCTGTTTCCGTCGGAGGATTGATGTCCACTGATAGTTGTGCTTCCACTGTTGGTATTGTTGGGCGCATTGTAGGTGGTACCATATTAAATAAGTTTATTTTTAAATATCACACAGCTATGCAGTATTAACAACTGGATAATTCATATAGGCCTGTTTCACTGTGTTGACTAATCTTCTCTATATAGTCTGATAGAGAGATAGTGTAGTACATAGCATATAAGTGCAAAAAATAAACTCAGAGAAAATTAGGGTATTTAATTCACCCTACAGTACACAAAGTTTTTTAAAGACACAGTTAATTGTAAATCACTTGAAAAAAATGATAGGAAAATGAAATGAAAAAAAAATAAGACGGATGCGGAGTTAAAATATGCTTAGAACATCGATGATTAAGAGTGAACTGCCAAGCCTTATTGTAACCATATAAAAATTTTAAAACATTATTTCACAGGATGTTGTTAGTTGCTTTCAAAGTACAAAGCTAAAATCTCATCACTCTTATTTTGCAGACACGCCAATTAGTAGTGTGGATCACATTGCACTTGTTCGCTTGCTTCCGTTATGCAGTTTAGAGAGTTAAGCAGGTCAGAAATATTGTGTGTGATTACAGAAAACCGTAACAGAAATTTCGCTCGAAACTGTAAACTTTGTGAACGGCTGTGTCTGTTCTGAATATGTCGTCGGTTCTCAGTCATTATTTCACTGGTTTGAACTGACTAAACATTTTAGCTGAGATAATGCGTGTTTACTTCCGCCTGGTATTTGGACCACTCCGGTAAGGCTGACAATCCATCAGTGGTTTTAGATTTTGGTATTAATAAGCAGTATGTATGTGCATCGGTGGCACAGTGGTTAGGACGCTCGCCGACCATGCACACGGTCCAGGGTTCAATCCGCGGCCGACGGAGTCTTCCTTTACCTCGCTAAGGCCAGTGATTAAAAGCTAGTAAAGAGGAAAGGTTGGGCATAAGGCTAGCAACGCCATCCTGTAAAAATAATCACTACTGCTACAGAAACTTCAAGCCTCTAACCTGAAGCCCTATGTTCCACTTGGAACGTGAAAGGATTAAAAAAGCAGTATGTATAAAGGACCATAAAGTATTTCATAAACGAGCCTTTGATACAGCTAGAGACTGTTAGCTCATTGAGTCAGTAGGATATTGACTGGTTTAATTTTCTGATTCTATTCCACTTCCTTACATACGTTGAAAAATGGAAATTAACTTTCTGTTCAAATACATACTTTAGACTATCGAAGTAGTCAACAATCAGTTTAACAATTTGACCACAAAACCATCCCTGCAAAATCCTCACATGAATCAGTATGTTACTGATATTAATGCAACAAATATTCAAAGATGTCAACAATTTCACCCTACAGAATTACCAGTGAAGTATTCTTCATCTGTTCAGAGGCATTCCACTTCTATCTATGCAAGTTGTCCACTAACTGGAAGTTGTACTGACTTAGGTATGATTGAGAAAGGTGCAGAAAGTCAACACAATAAAACTTATACAGTCAACACGTCGTGTACTGAGAGTGTCTGTTCAGTGAAATTCACTAAACCACAATATCACACAGATATGAAGGATAATTACAACGACGTCGATGACGATGATGATGATAAAGCTGAACGTGATATTACCGAGTCAATAGATGAAAATATTCAAAATTGTCAAAAAAGTACAAAAATTGCCTCGAATCTTTTGGGGAAAAGAAAAGAGAAGATAGACACTAATGAAATACCAAACAAAAAGTTGTCACCATCAAAGTTTACTTCTGTTAAACTAAATTCTTTATTAAAGCATAAACACAAACATTTTCGTTCTACAGCTATTCAAGTGGGCGCTGGTAAATATAATCGTTTGACTAGCGGGCAAGTTAAAAATAACAAAAATACCTATGTCAACTTTGAAAGAGATTATAACAGTAGTCCAATTGTATTGAAAGTTAAACGTGCGCATTCTCTACAGTCACTATCATCTGAACCAACATCGATAAATGTATTTAAAAAAGGCGTGTCTTTTAGTACAAATAAAAAGGCATTTATTCAACATGGTGGAAATCTAGCTCAGGAAGTTGTAATTGTGCGTACTGAAGATCAAAGTAGAAGTCTGATGAATAGTAGTGAGAGAAGTAATGACACGCATAGTATACATCTGATTCCAGCAGTTATATTAAATAAAGACGGTACATCGAGTAATAATGAGCCTAGTCTGAACACGCTTGATTTAGCTGATGAATTTGAACAAGTTAGTGAGATTTGCCATTTTCGACGATTTGTTTCTCCTTTGTTCGTTCATTTGTTTATCATCCGTGTTCAGTTGTTTGAAATTATTTATTTTAATTCAAGTAAACCTTTTTTGTAGGTAATGTAATGACGTGAAGGTAACACAAATTATACTCTCTATATTATTTACTTTAGGAATTGGAAATGTTTTAACTGCAATACACTGAAATAAAAAGACCTAATACATCAATGTTCACTTGTAGGTAGGTACATATGTTGTCACATCAAAGTACAGGACAACAAGAGGGGGAACAAAACTAGATAAGGAAAAGGATAACCAGGGAATGCAATACCGCATTTCATATTAAGATAAATAAATAAATATATTTCCGTGTAACAGCAGAACACATTCTGAGTTATATCACACAACGTCTGCAAACGGTAGTTTTCGTAGCATGAAAGATATGAATTAAGAAGACCATATTTTTCTTATACATCACCTTGAAGGGAAAATTATAAAGCTAACTTTTGGTCTCTATTTCAGTTTACTTCAGTTTATTGTCTGTTAGACACTGATTACTGACTCACCAGATATTCTCGGTGCTGTTATTGCTTGGGCATTCCAAACTGCAAATTTACCGTACCCAGACAAGATGATGCGTCATGATATTTGCAGATAAACCTATCGGCGTTACTTGAAACAAAATTATACTTAACCGTGCAATGCTAAATCAAGAGTATTAGCCTCCATCTTCCCTAATGGATATCCATTGATGAACCACTAAAAGTTTAGCCAGTTGTTCTATTTTTCCTTGGCAATATTTAACAGTGTATTCCAGAACTTTCTACATGGGATGGAATTCTGATTTGTGAAATTTTGTAACGGACATTGTACCATTCATTTAACAGGTTGGAAACTAATTGACCATGCTTTTGAAAGTCATTTAGTTGTAGAATAAAGAATATATATATATATATATATATATAATATTGGATCATAAGATTTATTAAAAAGACTGTGGCATTTTAATTCCTAATTGTAATTTTATTAATTTGACCCTTGACCGGAAATTATTCTAGAAAATTTCCCACCCATTTATCATAAATACACGAATGTACAGCGTAGCTGATGACTTCGTCGTATTCAACTAACTGCAACTTTAAAAATTTAGAGTTTCTAAGTATGCATTGCTGTATTCTAGTAGTGCTTCCCAAATCTTGAAGCATGCTTATCTTAGGTAAACACGTTTTCTTTTGATTGTTATCCTACACTCAGTGTGATTGTCTGAAAAACGAAATGTGTTCACAAGGTATTTCATACAGTTTATTTGACCTCATCACTTATTCGTATAAAACTGATATTCTCAAAGGTATTTCATGTGTTTTTATCAAAAGCCTAACTTCTGACTACGGTTAATTATGAAAGGTGTTACACAGTGCTGAGGTAAATTTTAACACAAGGACAGAAATAGAAAGAAGGCTTTTCTTTAAAGGAAACCAGTATGCTGTGTTATGCCGCTCGTAAGTGTACTGCCTACCAAGACCACTTCCATCCTACAAGAGAAAGATTCAGACAAGGTATATTTTTTGAGGAATGTCTCATTGTTTATAGGAATTTTCGTAGTAACGAATTACAAACCATGTACTGTCTATGAGAAATACATGCTTCTTTGATTTTAAAGGGGAATTCGTATACTCATTAAATATTTTGTTATACTTTTATCAGCCTGTATTTCGACCAAGTCGTGCAGCTTCAGCTAGTGGATCTATACGACGCTCTGGATACAATCGTAATTATGATGAACAGGTTGAAATCGGCTCTCATCATAGTTTACAGATAGATGATAAAGAATCAACTGTTCACGGTTCAACAGTGTCCGGCTCAACTACAAGATTTGTTAGGCGACGTTCACCACAACAAGCCTTCAGGGATACTATAAATAACGAAGGTAAAGAAGAGTCAGAAGCTCAACAGGTCTCCAGGGCTATGGGAAGAGTATTAACGGCTTCAGGTGGAACAAGTGAGTGGCATTATACTATTGCCTATATTGATATATTGGGATGGGAGTTAAAGGTAGTTGTTTATATTTATTATGGTGAATACAGAGGGTCATGTACTGATGTGCGCTTCAATAAGACTTTAAATTATTGCGAAGTTGATCAGCAGTTTGTCAAGTGGTTCTACATACTTATTAATTCTTTGAATGATGTAATTTACAAAAAGTTTCCAGTCAACATTCTATTCATATTTTATACCTATATTTCTTTTAAAATAATGTTAACGCTAGATTTACAAGAGTGAAAACTTTAAGCCTCTGATATACCTAAGTGTAAATTGTCGTGTCACTGGTAAACAGTAGATCTTCGGGAAGAAATTAACTCATAAGCCTGGTGTATGTCTGTCAACTTGCGTTCTAACACAGATTCAAGTTGGACTACCTCACTGCCAAAATCACCAAGTTCAGCACCAATTTCTACAATTCATGACAGACTCGTAAGATGGGGTAATAAATTACAGCTTATATCACATTGTCACACCACTTGAAGACAACTGCGTTTATTTAGATTTTGAATATTTTGAGTTCCGATCTACCCACTGATACATATACAGTACTGAAATTGGATATGGCATACATATTCTTCTTTCCCTGAAATCGGATATTTAATAAAGAATATTTCTTTATCATCGTTGGCTAGGGAGCTAAAATGTCAGTGTGAATATTGCGATGGTATTTTGCTTAGCTGCTGAACTAATTTGTGAGTAGACACCGGATTTACGAATTAAATTTACGAAGTCCCCCAAAACAATTAACTCATGCTATGAATTCAGCTTGTAGCGAAGCATTAGAATCCCGGTTTCTGATGATGATTATGAATCACAGTATGTTGTGATATTTGACTTCAGTTTGCTTTTGGAGCCAGAATTATTAAGGACAAAATGTAAAGTTTACTTGGCACCTTAAATGGCATCTAAGAACGCAAACGCAGGTGTATATTCATGTGTACTACTGTCTGATCACTATTAGTAGCTGAATACCACTCAGCCAGCAGGATTTCATTCAAATGGTAAGAAGGTTACAAATTTACGATGCTACTGTCCTACAAACAACGCAGACAATGATCAGGAAGACTTCCACGAGTGGAGGCAGTAATGGATGGGATCCCAAATGGCGATGTGAGAATCCTAACGGCTGATGTGAATGGAATCCAAACTGCTAACGGATGACACAGGAAAAGAACTCAAAATAGGTCTGAAGGCCCTTAACGAAATTAATGAGAATAGAGAACTTTTATCAGACTCAGAGAATTTATATTTGAAGGAAAAGTGTACAGATAAATGGATATAGACAATTCAACGTGGGTTTTATCAGACAGATACATCAAAAATTATATAGATTTCATTCCATTTTGAAGAAGGTGGAGACGCAGAGTGCTGGGTGCAAAATTGAGAGGAGGAGCAGATGTGGACACAAACAGTTATGTAGTTCAAGGGACAATTAAGGTGAATTTGGAAGTCTTCATGGAAGGAAGAGACAGACCATAACTCAAGTTCGACAATCAGGAAGTGAAGGACGAAACTGAAAAAGACACACTCACTGCAGTCATCACGGCTAAGTCAGAGACATTATGTAGCACCAGTGAGGAAACACTAAAACCCTCTGAAAGTTATGCTCAGGGAAACAAGTACAATAGTTTTAGAGAGGAAGAAGAGGCAGGCAAGGAATGACTCTCTATGAACATGGGGAAGCTAACAGAGAAGATAGAATTGGAGAAACAGAAGATGCACTAATGCAAATATAGAGAACAGAAGGAGATGATGAATTCAATGAACATAACACTGAATAAAGAAGTGAAGAAGAGTGAGTCCTGATAAAGACAAACGAAAATCCTATAACACACTGGAAAATAAAGCAAAACAAGCCTCAGGTAAGAGGGACCTCATATCACTATACCAGATAACCACTGCTATACAGGAAGAAGTCGACATTGATGATGATGACGATGAAGGAAACCTAATTATCAAACAGCAGAACCACAGGAAACAATGAGCTGATAACTTCAAACGACCCTAAAATCAAGCACCGCCTACAGAGCATTCAGAAATAGCACCAACTTTAGGCACAGAACTGTCAGTTAACAATATAGTAAGCATGACTTGATGAGAACCGACACGAGACAAATATAATAAGCATACGTGAAACCGGGAAGACAGTGGAAGCGGACAAAATTCCTCTGGAAGCACTAAAACAGATCCAGAAACTGCAGCGGATATTCTCATGTCACTGTTGCAGGAGATTTGGAAGTAAGGAAAAGTGCTTACTAATCGGAATAATGCCTGGCTACCTTGTCAAGCTACCATAAAAGGGTGACCTACACATGACTCTGCAAGAACTAGCTTGGAATAATTCTCTTGTCCACGACAAGTAAAATACTAAGTAGCATCATCCTGGAGAGAACAAGGGGTGCACGGGATGCAGAAATGCGCCAGCCCGGAAGAAGCTGGATTCAAGAAAGGTAAATCATATGCTGATCACATTGCAACTCAACAGATTGTCATCACTGAACAAAGCATAGGCAGTCAAACTCCTCTCTACCTCAACTTCATCGACTTCGGAAGCGCCTTCGGTGGCACTGACTGAGAAGTAATTTGGAAATTAGTTCGACACTATGGTGTGCAATGCCCAAATCACTCAACAGTTGGCCGGCTATATGACAGTGCGAGGTGTCAGGTGATCCACAACGGGAAACTCAGCGAAGCTTTCGAAGTGAACACAGGAGTAATACAGGGCTGTCTTTCTCTTATAACCTATGATATTCCTAATTGTAGTGAACTGGATTATGCGTTAGATTGTGCATTGGGAGTGAAAAGACAAGAACACGTTTGACCGATAGGAGGATTCTAGAAGATCTTGATTTCGGAGATGACTTATGTCTAATGTCACACAAACTCAAGGATTTCCAGGCGAAATTTAACAAGTTGGCAGAAGAGATAGGCAGTATAGACAGGACGTAACAAATAAACTCAAAAACCTGTTGCTCTAGAAATATTCTGAAGATGGACTGGACAAACGCTGAAGAAACGGTTTGGTGGCACCGTACTCCAGACCATAGCTCGAGTGGAACTCAAATGGGAAATGGCCAGTCGGACTTCCGACGGTGACATGGAGGAGATCGTTTGAGTAGGAGATGAGAGTTCATGGGCAATCGTAGAGCCAGATGAAGAGGACTGCATGGGACAGGACTAAATTGACATATGCTGCTGAAGCCCTATTTTCCACTCGGAACCTATGGAAATAATAATAATAATATAATAATACGTCAACCAGTGTCGCTAGTTAGCTAAATGGAACCTACCCAAACAACAGCCTGCCGTTTCGATCGTTTGGTTTCAAGCCAATCAATGGTGTACCCATTCTGATCCAGCTCAGGCAGCTGAATCAGATCAAACCACTCCATAAGATGTAAGTGGTATCCAACATCTCATATCAGTTGGTCAGTAGTACATAACATCATGTTTCATAACTCATCTCTGCAAGCATATGACTAATGAAAGCATAACTATGAAGAACTGTCTTGTGAAGAATAGGCGTGTCATTACATCACATATATCAGTAGAGAGATTTCTAGGAACCATGCTATCTACTGTAATTTACAATATCAGATAAATTTCATAATAAGAATCAAAAGAACGTCATTCAGTTAGGGGGAAGATGAAAGAAATTTCACTCTTTCTTTCTTAGTGAAACTAATCGTCTCATTACCTTTCATCTGTTTCTCTTTCTTGAAAATCTCTATAGTGTTAACGAATGAATGAGTAAATAGTATCCAAGCTCATTAAATTTAAGTAGTAGTATTTTAAACTGAAAAATAATGGATATGGGACTCAAAATAAAGGTCTATGCATTTTTATTAAGATTTATTTCCAGTGGTCTTAAAAATATTAATGCAATTCTAAAGCTGTATAGGTCATATATATTATGTGCAGCCTACAACTTTTAACCGACTACCACCTTAAGTTACACGCATGTAATTGATTCACGTATCGGTTGATGATGTAATGGTAGTTTTATATACGTAGTTAGCGGTGAGTATTGATTCTCCAGTTATATTATAAAATTCCTGTGTTTTTTATTATTTTATTTTTGTGCGTGTATAGGTCCAACGCCAAGTTTAAACGCAAGTACAAATATGTTGCGTTATAGTCGTTTATTGGATCAATTACGCAGTGATCCAGAAACTTTGAGAAAACTACGTCATGAAGTAGAACAATTACTAATAGAACAATTAAATGAACGTGGAATTAAACAAGATCAAAATCGTCTGTCAACAAGTCAACTCAATCAAAAGTTAAATGTTTTAAACAAGGAAAGAGAACATTTGGCTAAAAAACATCCAAATTTCATGGAAATAAGAGATGTAGGTTGTTGATCTGCATTCCTTACTAATAATTAATATTTTAAGTAAAAGATAAAGTGCTTATCTTTCATGATTATTTTTTATGTATCATGAAAAATAAGTACTCAACCATTTTCCATAATACAATAACCTTTAAATCCAGTTTAGATTTTCTCAATGATTGATTGGACCGAAGTGCTAGGTATCAGGTTGTCATGTCGGTTGCTCGTGCAGATGCTTCGACAATGTCTGGTCATGTAACCTGAAGTCAACTGGTTGATGGTGACTAGCAGTGGAATCCAGGATGCTCATTTCATCCTATTTTGGTACTTGCTATCTGGATGTACCTGCATTCACCAGTGAGTGATGGTGTTCCCACCAAGGCTTGAACCAAGTGCCCCCATAGTCTCAAACGCCACTAGACCACTTGAGCCACGACAGCCACCTCTCGTGCAACGGGTCTTATTAATTATTTGATTCAATTTAGATTTTCCCATCGAAATGCGCATCGTGGATTCCACTGCTAGTCACCATCAATTAGCAAAATAATTTTATTTGGTGAAATCCCACAGCTCGATACAGGATTATTTGCTAATGACGTTTTGAGTACGGTTTATTGCCTATAATCATACCAAGGTACTCACACTTCCTAGCTTCATTTATATAGTTCCATTATTTTTCACTTGATTTTCGCTTGATTTTATTGGTATTAGTATTTTCCATATTTCGGGTTTGAGGGATGAATTATTCCTATTGTATGTGTTGGGTGTAGACTTGATGAACAAGGATTCACTAACCAACGTCTCTCCACCGACCTGGATTGCTGTTTACACTTTTAACCCTATCCCACCCTATTGTGCAGTTGTGTGTTAATGCATTCAGTACTATGTAGGGGCGAGCTTTTTCTAAATTACTTATCTTCTCGGGGTCAATCATTCTAACCTTAGCTAAATTCTTATGTTCTGACAATCTGACTACCCTGACCTACTAGTTCGATCTATGTAATTTACCTCATATGTGATCCTTTCGCGTTAAGTTATATCAACTCTCATCGATTGCAACTTTGTGTGTGAAATAGTAAGATGCATTAATGCCATCTGTTCTCAATTCCATAATCATTCCTCTCATCGATTTATCTACTCATCTCCATTGTCAACAGTATTTATGGTAATTACTGGTAAACATGTATTAATGTATCATGATTATGCTATGACCTAACAAAATTCAATGTTCATAACCATTCCTGTTCTGTGATTTCCAGGTCTTTAGTCTAACATTTAGTTTCCAGTAGTTGCGTTAAAAGGAATATTTTCCATTTTCTAACAAAGCTGTCAAAACTAAAGCGGTATCATACTCAGTGGAAATCTTTTTTTGTATGAAGCAATAGTACAGTGATATGTTTACTTCACCAATAATCTTTTTATGTTTCATCCAGGCTTTAGCTCAACATGTTGATCGTTTAGCGCATGCAACAATCCGTGGCAGTACTGGCAACATTATAGAATTAAGACAACGTGGAGAAAATAATCAAAAGATGAATTTTTCTTACAAAGCTGGTTTACCTCCACCAGCAGCTTATAGTCCTGCAAGTTTACGCAGAGCTGGTACACTGCCTTTAGCCTCACAAAGAGTTGATGTCACATCTAATTTAGGTGTGTCACTGCCAATATTATCTGTAAATAACGATATGGGTAGTAGTCAAAGTAATATGACAGAAGGTATGAATTCATTGAATAAAAGGCCGACTGGATACTTTGAATCAAAGTAAGACATTTATCAAATTATTATTTTTTTAAATAAACAACTTATATTGTTATAAACCTCTGTTCAGTTTACTATCTTACCTAAAACGTGAAACATTGTTTACTCGACCATGGCTTGCCTCTTATGGTTTCAACCCATTTCTAATATATATATATATATATGGTTGTCGTTTGTTACTTCGCTGGTGCCGAGAAATTAAAGACTTTGTTTTAGTGACCAGGTCTTCTTGGCGTTCGTGTAGCTTTTTAATTTGCTTGTTTGAGGTTACCACTGAGTGGTTAGCCAACTACAAAAGTTGGTCAAATAACTGTATAAGTACGTCACGCTGAAACCCATCAACACTGGATTAACAACTCACTAGCAATTACACTGGTTCATTATGTTTTCCAAACAATATATATATACATGTATATATAGAAGGCAGGCAGTCTAGAAAGAGGTGATCTCACTGACAACTCTTCGAAAACATTTTTCAAGAACAAAAGCAACCACAGATATTTTAGTGTTGGCTGAGGGATTACATCATGAGCCTACATCAGTTAGAGAACCAGTGGAAAACCTGGGAGTACTGGAAAGCCAACTGTCTCATCCTAGTTTGTGACTCCGCCTCAGCAGTACACACCCATCGCCAGGGTTCGAGTCCAGGACCTTCTGGTTACAAGGCGAGCTAGCTAGTAGACCAATAAGCCACTGGAATCCAATCCAACGGCCAGCCAGTGCGTGAATTCTAACTTCTGCCAATTTATGACATAGCACGACCACTTCGCAATGTCTTAATCGATGGGTTACTGCCTAATCTGCAGCCTGCTGTACCCTACTAGTTACGGCTTCCCACTAGAAAGCACTCTTCAGATGAAGAGTTCCAGACTGGGACGAAACATCCTCAAGTTCTCCCTGAAGGTTTTCCAGTGGTTTTCTAACTGATATCAGCTCATGATGAAATCCTCCAAACAATCAAACAAATATTCCCTACAAAACCCTTCATTACTTTACTGTTGAACAAAATCTATGAATTTGGCTCTCGCTTATAACCATTTGTTCAGCAGTATGAAATGATAAAATTTCGTGCATTTTTTCATGCTCTTTACAAAACATGAATAAATTAATTCAGGAAGAAACTATCTCAACTCCTAATCTTATTGGCAATAATTAAATAACGCGAAGAAATATCAGTTTGAATGTTAATTATTCCACACCTGCTCTGATTATCTTCTTTTTTTGTGTGTGTGTGTTAGTTATTTCAGTTGACTGACGTCATTCAGCTTTCTCTATAACTGTGATTTTCAGGAAAATGTGAGCTGCTTACGACTACGCATATTAGTCAGTAGTCTATACTACCTTAATGAATTTCTTTTTATTTGTACATCCATTAAAAGCTTAATTTATGTATTACAAATTATTCTTTTAATTCAGACCACGTTTACAACGATCCAGTCCTCAACTACAATATATTACTGAAGAGACAAAGAGTGAGTCATCTGCATCAAAACAACAGCCTCCATCTATACACCAACAGGCGCATACAACATCTCAGAAATATTCACCATCACATATGAATAATAATAATAATAACAACACCAGTAATAACAACAATAACAATAATAGTAGTATTAACAATAGCAGTAGCAATGGTCAACAAAAACACGGTACATCAAATTCCCCTGAAATTCATTTCAGCCATGACCAAAAAGTTGTAACTTTCGGTGGCCAGTCGTCAGAAACAAATCGTAATCTAGCAGTTGTACAAAGTAGTGAAGATGATGAATGGGATTCAGAAACAGAAGATTTAAATGCTGTCGCTGCTGAAATCAACAAAGCACAACAGTAAGACTGATGTATATTTATGCTTTTATTAATCTGTGTTTAATTTACTTTGACTGAACACTGGTTACTACTGTGATGTGTCCAGTCCTTTCTTTGATGCAGACTGAATTGTATCAGTCAACTTTTCGAGTCTGAATAGCTCAGTGATAACGTCTCTTGCTGCAGCACTAACTGGGGGATGACGCTGGTTTGAATCTTTAAAGGGACATGAATTCCTTCAAGATTGCAGATACGCCTTGTTGACAACTGGTAAGTGCCAACTAGTACGAAACCTAGGTTCAAGGCTTCCTCAAGGCCGATTGCCTCCAAACATCTAATTCATAGTACAACATGGTATTATTAAGCATATATTTTTTTAAATAAACATTTGAATTACTATATAGTAAACACTAGCTTACTGCAAGGAATCCTCGGAATTTGAGTTGTGAACTTTTGAAATTTCCACTTTTAATGTTTACACTCCACTCCATTTGAGCGGTCTGATTGGGTTCGATTTCTTGTAAAAACCGTCCTTTTGTTGAATAATTCAGACAGCCAAGAAGATTAAAGTAACTCTGAAGCACTAGTACACATTTTCGTAAAAGAAATATGCAGTGAGGAAGTGATTGAAGAAGAACTGCGTAATCTCCGAAAGACCCTGATGGAAAACGGTTTCCCGCCCAGATTCATAGACAAGAATCTCAAATCTAAGAAGACTTCCGAACAAGTCCAGTCCGTTCCAAATAAAATACTTCTGCTTAATCTAGAATACAAAGGTGATATTGAGGCAGAAATCCTTCGTAAACGCCTCTCCAAATCACTGAGGAAAACATACTTCGCCGCGAGCCTATGACTGAGGTTTTCCTGCAAGATACTGTTCAGCCAGAACGCGAAAGACAAGCTGTCGCATTGGGCCACCTCAACGTGCATACACCAGTTTACTTGCTCTTGTGGAGCTGAGTCCATCGGCCGTACCATGCGCCAACTTGAAAAATCCGCTCATGAACACTACCCAGCCTGGCTAGTAAAGGGAGACCAAAAACGTGTATACAGTTCAGTGACAGAACATCTGGTCAATTCAGGACATTCAGCATCTTTCGAAAAATCCTTCAAAGTAATATACAAGATTCGATCAAACCTATCAAAGGGAGTGAAATCAAGACATCTGGGCATAGCCAAGGCGCTAGCTATCCAAAAGCTCAAACCCACGCCATGTATCTAAAAGAAATACGTCCAACCCCTGTCCCTGCCATGGCCATCACAAACAGGTAGCTTTTTTTAGTAGTGACCATCCCATCGCCTTTCTTATTGAAACTTCCTGTTTATTCAAATTATTTTTAGGTTATTCTTAATCCCTGTATACACTACCACATATTCATATCCGAACTTCCTGTTTATTTCCTCATTTTATTATTTCTACATATTTAATCCCTGATTACATAAACAATTATTCGTCACGTGAGTTTTTTTTTATCCAAACATCCTATTTTTTTATTTCTACATTTATAACCCCCAATTGCAAAATGTCAATCATCTTAGTAATTATGATGCTACTTTGTTTGAGTTTTATCCGTCCCTCTGTTTATTATGACATTTTAATTCCTAATTGTAATTTTATTAATTTGACCATTGACCGGAAATTATTCTAGAAAATTTCCCACCCATTTATCATAAATACACGAATGTACAGCATAGATGATGAAAATTTTCTTCGCTGCAACCGTCTTCTTAGAGAAATATGTGTAAAAAAGAAACAAAACCGAAGTAGATGAATCATGATTAAGGGGAACTAATAAAATACCAAGCATATTATTCAGTAGGTACATCTATGCAGACCGATTCTCAATCAAGTTCAATGAAATAACGTCTACTAATAGGACAGAAAGTATCATTTTTTGGTGTTTGGAATTATGCGTACTAAATTCAAGCCTCACTGGGAATATCACCCACCACCCCCCCTCCGGGAACAAAGATACACCCAGTAATCAAATCCTAAGTAGGGCAAAAAGTGCATCCCGAATTCCGCCTCTAGATATAAGCTGTTGAATCCCATCAAAATCTAAAATAATAATTCATGAATCGTTGAACTAAACCATCTTCGGCGTTACATTTATAAATAGGCGTATTCACTTTAATCATACTGTAACGCTTATATAGAACTTCAATGAAATAACTCAAATGAATTATTGCTGTGGTGAAATTGAAACCATCTGTACAGGCTTATTATTATTATTATATCTATAAGGAAGATATTCATAAACTGACGGTTTAAAATCCTATGGCACTGACGTTATAGTAGATTTTCTTGGTTAGGCTTTTATTTCCACAAAATTGATATTAATAATAGTAATAATTAATTTTCATTTTTGGTATAGATTGAATTTATCTAATTCAACTCAAAAACTAGTAAATCCTAGAAATTTAGAAGTGTCCTTCTACAAACCAAGTAATTCAAATACTACTACAAATAATAATATCAAACAAGGGAATAACAACGCCAGTATTCCTCCAAATCCTCAAGGAATAAAATATAGTTTATATAAGGGTCAAAGTTTAAAAACAGGTTAGTTTTGATGTTAACCTTTTAACATGATGAACTTGATATATTTTCGTTAGACACGCTGTTAATTACTTCTTTCTTAACAAACACAATGAATACTGATATAAACTAGTGTAACGGTCAGCGTGCTGAAGTAATGTTGATTTACCACGATGTTGTATTCAATGACACGTGTAGGATGTACGGTGTTGTCAAAGTTCATAAATCAGGATACCCTATTTGGCCTATAGTTGATTTTAGAAATTCACCTACATATGAATTATCTGAATATTAAGCCATGGTATTAAATCCCTTAAAAGTCACTCGAAATCTAGACTAACAAATTCTTATGAACTAAGACACATATTAGATAATTTAAAATTAGATAACGAATACAAATTGCTTAGTTTTGACATTATTAATTTATATACACATATACCAATGAATATGGCTATAGAGGCAGTCAGAAAGGAACTCATTTCTGACCAAGAACTCAAACTTAGAACGCAAGTGCCACTTGATGATATAATGCTGACAGTGCAGCTATGCCTGACTTCCACAGTATTTAAATTTCAAGGGAAAATATACAAACAAACTGAGGGAGTTGCCATCGGGTAAGTGGCACAGCGGTTAGGACGTTCACCGACGAAGCACATGGTCCGGGGTTCGATTCCCTGCCGACACACACCTGATATCAATAGTCGGCCTGCAAAATTGGGCTACCGATATCACATGCTAAAAATTCCATACTTATACCAAATATACGGTGTGAAACCAAGCTACTATAAAACAATGATCCTGGTTGTGGCAGATATATTCGTGGATAGGTGGGAAAACATAACGATTGAAACGTTCAGCCCCACTCCAGAAGTATGGTGAAGGTATGTAGATGGCACATTCACTGTACTTAGAAAACAGGATAGAGACAGATTTCTCGAACACATTAACTCAAGGGTGGAGGTCATTCAATTCACTTATGAATTGGAAAGTCACGAAGAGAAACCTCCAATATTAGATTGTAGCGTAAAAACGGAAGAAGATGGGAAGTTAAACACTAGTGTTTACCTGAAACCCACACATTTGAACAGATGTTTGAACTTCCGATCATCCTATCCTATGTCAGTGGAAATAAGATTGGTGAAATGTATAAGTGACAGAGGAGAAACCTAAATAGTACCAAGTGAGGCAGGAAGTGAGGCATATAAGAGAAGCGTTGAAACTTAATAACTACCTTGATAAATTAGTCAGAAAGTATGCAGGGAAATGTAAAAATAAAATAAATAGTGATAGTAGTGATAGTGAAAGTAATAATAATAATAACTGAAATAATGATAGTAATATTAATGACGACATACATGTCAAACATGCACAAAAAATGGCAACACGAAAAATAAGGAATATAAATGATCAGTAGTAATTCCATACAAAGAAGGAACCTTGGAATGATTCAACACCTGTCCACACAGACATGTGGAAAATTCTACCACCACGCCTATCACGACAAATAGGAGAGAAGAAAGAAAACTATAAAAGTCAGGTTTCGAAGTCGTGTGATTATAATTGTTGAAATGATTATCACCAGTAAATTTTGTTCGAAACATCATCCAGTAGATAGCACTGTTTCATCATTGTGTGATATATATCTAGTAAACAAACTAATATGGAACCACTTACTACCAGAGTGCGTCGGTGGCATAGCGGTTAGGACGCTCGCCAACCACGCACATGGTCCGAGGTTCGATCCCCGGCTGACGCACTCCTTTGCCTCGCTAAGCCAGAAGGTAAAGAGGAAAGGTTGGGCATGAGGCTAGCAACCCCATCCTGTAAAATCAAACACTGCTACAGAAACTTCAAGCCATTAGCTTGAAGCCCTATGTTCCACTAGGAACGTGAAGGAAATATATATATATACTACCAGAGTGCTCAAGTTTTACACATACAATAATATAACACGTGTCTATTGCTGTCTGAATTCCATCAGCCGAGTTTGCAGTGATTGATTCGGTGCTATGGATCCCTTTGAATCAGTGTTGAATGGTTAGAGAGGGTCGTAAGGAAGTCTTGGATCTGGGCTTCGTACCTGCTAAACGACACCAGAATGGTGTATTTTTAGCCCTGAAGAAACGGATGTCTTCATACAGACAAAAGAATGACCACTTTTTTGTTCAGATCTCGGAGTAAGAAGTAAATTAAGCATAAACTCGGTTGTCGAATGCATAAGCTGATACTCAACAACCCAAAATCATATCAGAACACGAATTCTTTAAATATCAATACTGTCAACTGAAGACAGAATTCGGCTAATTACTAAGTCCCGTTTATTAATACGTTTAACAAGGATTATTAAAAATCCATTGCATATAATTTTTTATACCAGTTAAAATAAAGGATAATTAAATAACTGAATGGAACTATAAATATGGATCTTGAAAACTATGTCACTGCTTTGATATCACTATGCATGAAGATAGTGCCTGAAGCGTCATCTAGTTAACACTACTATACAACCGTGCGCCCTATCAAATAAACAAACTAATATGGAATTGTACTCAACCAGAGTACGAAATTATTTTATAAATATGCTGATTCCATTCGATAATCATGATGACTTACAACTAGAGGAGTCGGTGTAGCTCATGATGACATCCGAAAATTTTCATTTTCATTTGAAACGATTGTTTAACCGACTTGATCAAAGATATTCGGATGCGCGTCTGACTGTTGTATATCTTTTTTATTAACTAACAGGCTATTTTGATTGGTGATTGGAGAGTAACCAGAGGTTGAATAGCGCTCAGAGGTAGTGTCTAAATACAACACTGGATGGCACATGCTTGAATCTCCGGTGGAACATCATTTCTTTAAAAGTTGCACATACGTTTTGCTAACCGGTGCATGTCAATGGACACAAAATCTAGGTTCAGGTGTCCCAACAACTGTCCCTAACCGTTTAGCATTATCTAACACCTTGTCTGACTTAAATTTATTTGACCAAAACGCGCTACTCCTTAACTCCTGTTTACTACATCTGGTATTTTTATAGGTCATTTATCCAACATTATTATTATTGTTCCCCTGGATTCCTAGTGGAACATAGGACTTCAACTGCACGTCTCCACTTGCGTCTGTCTTCCTTCTGCTGTACTTTTCACCTGCATCCATCCATGTTAGTCCATACTTTTTCAACTCCTCTTCACACGATCTCCTCCATGTCACCCACCCTTGGACGTCCCACTCGCCGCGTGCTTCCCTTCCGAGTTCCACTTGAGCAATGACCTAACACGCGCGCGATGTCACACAGCGGCCTCCTCAGCTAGTGTCCAATCCATCTTCACTTTCTCCTGCGTATTTGTTGGTTGGCTATTGGTTCTTGTTTTGTTTGTTTATTCCCATAGTTTCTTGTTGGTGATTCTTTCCGGCCCGGCCCGGCCCGGCCATCTGATCTTCATTATAGATCCAGCGAAGACAGTTGTTGATAAAGGTCCGGTCTGCAACAGGCTGTTGGAAATATTCTTTGTGACCCACCGGTCAAGTTTCTGATCCGTATAGAAGAACTGACTGAGTTGACGTTTGTATTGAAAATCCGACTGAATTTTGTTGTTGATGCTGAGTTGATTGACGAGGATTTCCATATTGGTTTCAGATTGATGAATGTGTTTCTCGCCTTTCCGATTTTTGATTTGACATCCTTGTCCGTTCCTCCTGTAGTTGAGACAATGCTCCCTCCCTAGGTAAGTGAATGAAGTAATCTCTTTGAAATCCCTCCCGATGATGGTGATTGGCTAGTGGCTGGATGTTGTTGTTGTTGGTTGGCTGGTTATTTTCATAACCTCCGTCTTGTTCACCTATGTTCATCTGGAGTCTTGTCTTCACCGGCTGCTTCTTCGACCAGTTTGTTGGTTTTCGCGTGTAAGTCTTCGATTTTGTGTGACATCAAACATAAATCATCGCTGCGCGAAATCCAGGTCTTCTAGGTTCTTCACATCGGTTGGTCCAGGATATTTCTGTCTTCTCGTATCTCACCGTCTGACGCATAATCCAGTCAGTCCACCACAATTATATCATTGGTGATAATAAACACCCTTGTCTGTCTCCTTTATCCAACATAAGAATTCTTAAACATCTTTTTTCAAAATCTGGCCGAGAAAATGTTTAAAAGTATTGCAATTTATTAGATTATTTTTTTTCAAAATGTATGGGAGTTTATGGTGAAGTTGTTGTAACTAAATCCTCCATTATTTTATTTTTCATATGATTTTCGCAAACCATTTGAAACTTCAGTAATTTTATACAAAGTAAAGTAATAAGAAATAAATTCACTGAAGACCATTACTGTTATAACCAAAGAAAATAGCTTTAGCTCTTCTGCCTCATCAAAGTGATTTTCTGTTTTTGTATTGTATAGATGATGAAGATATATTTAGTGTTTCATCAATTAACGGTGGTTTAGCCGAAGACAACAGCTTATCTCTAGCTCCAGAGGTATCACCTAGACATACAAAACGTCCAGTCGGAGTAAGCAGATCTCTAGATCCTAGTGTGGCAGCAGCACATGCAGAAGCAAGCGCATTAGGCCCTAGACCAACAACTAGAGTGGGTGGCATTAACCGACAACCAATTACTGCAAAGCATACATCTATTGGAAGTCCAGAGCTGAGTAATACGATGGCGACTAGCCTATGGGGCACTAATTCTAAAGGTAAGCTAGAAATTTCATCCCTTCTGAAAAAAGTCGATTTCTTTTAATTTTTTTATTATTAATATACTGTGGGCGAGTCAAATTTAACTGAAAATAAGCACAACAAAAATCATATTATGCTAATTGTAAGGGAAATTTTGTCAAGAGTCGGTTTGTAAGCATTAGATTTGTTTTACGAGTTTGATGAGGGATTGAAATCAGTTAAAGAACCGTTGAAAATCAGGGAGTGCTGGACAGCTGTTTCATCCTAGTTTGGGGATCATCGGCAGTACGCACCCACTGGGGTTCGAACCCAGACTGAATATCATACGAGCATGCCTTGTAGCCGTGGGCTAAACAGCGATTTCGATAGACCTGAAATCTTATATATATATATATATATTTATTATATTTTCTGTGTGTTGAAGTTTCTCTAGGGGTTTGAAAGATTTAGTGGTGTGGGGTTGTTAGCACCACACCCAACCCTCCCTCTTTACCCGGGCTTGGGACCGGCTAGAAAACTAGCGAGCTAGTTAACTACGCGCGGTTTTCTAATTATATTACAATTACTTAGTTGTCAACTGTCGATTTCGTTTGGAAAAGTGTACATTAAATTGTCTTCTGAACAGCATATTACCTCAAGAGGACATTTTAACACCTCTTTATTGATGCAAACATGTGTGGTATTATATAAAAACCTAGGTCACTGTGTAGTTTTAATCAACAGCCATTCAATTTTATTCATCATCCACATCGTCACTGTGATAGGCCTGGTAAGCGAACGGCAACAAGGATTGTGTTTTCATCTTAAAATATACTTGGAAGTTTAAAGGTGATTACAAGAGAGCTTACCTATTACTATTGTAATTTTTGAGTTCCAAGTGCATATCGAATTTGCAAATTTCATATTCTATGCAATACTAATACATTTACTTATTGGTAAAAAGTGACTGATGGGAGGAACCTGAAAGAAATAAACTCCTTTACCTACCGACATGGGAAGCATCGTTTCAGCTACAGGCGGACGGAACTGACAAGGATATCAAAGCAAGGATCATCGGAAAGGCAAGGCAAGCTTTCATTACTCTCAAGTCTGTGTGGAGGTCAACAGCACTCATCATGTAAATTGAGATTCGGATTTTCAACTCCAATGTGAAGTCAGTCAGTGCTATTATACGGATGGATCAGAGACTTGCACTGCGCGTCACAAAGAGCATCTCCAACAAACTTCAAACCTTCATTAACAGTTGTCTTCGCCCAATACTCAAGATCAGATGCCCGGCTAGAAAAGATCAGAAACAGGGTGAGATCTCTGGCAATGAGCGAACCAACACAGCAGGAACCGATTGTGAAACAAATAGGCAGGAAGAAATGGAGATGGATTGGCTAGCCATACTCTGAGGAAACCATCAAGTGAGTGACATCACTAGACAATCCATTGCTCGAGTGGAACCCGAAAGGGAAGCGGGTGGCGAGTTGGTCGTCAGTGCAAGGGTGATTTGGAGGAGGTCATGTGAAGAGAAGATGAAAGCGTGTGGGCAGACTTGGAGCGGGTTGAGAACGTTGGTAGAGAAGGGAATGCAGTGGAGACGTTTGGCTGAAGCCTTATGTTCCTCTAGGAATTAAAGGAAATAATAATATAATAAAAGGTGATTGATGCGTATAAAAATTACTTATCGAATAATTGATTGGTAAAGACACATCTGAAAATGAACTTAGATTTTACACTGCCGACAAGATGAGTACCCATAAATAATAATAATAATAATAATAATAATAATAATGATAATGATTTACTTTATTCCAAAAACAGTACTTGTGATACAGAATGGAATTTTCAGCATTAATCACAATAACAGTAGAAGGTGTACGCCCATACGCTTTTTCAACCTACTTTGGCTATATTCTCTCTCTCTCTCGATATATATATATATATATATACAGATAGGAATTCGAACAACGATAAAAGCATTCACGTCTGCAACAATAACTTCCTTGATCCACCAGTGAACACCAACTAGTTCTGATCACACTGAAGTTAGGCATTAACTAGGATATGATATGTATATGACCTTGAACAGTACATGTTATAAGTGTTGTCAATCAAAATCTCAACGTTGAAATTCGTACAATCTATTTTAAGAATTTCATTTCTACATTCATAATAAGCTCTGTGTCATTTATCCTGCAGGTCAATTAAACTGATATAAACAAATAACTTTTTTTTCTGTTGTATTCACGCACGAAATAATCATTTGTACACCGTTATAAAGATGATTTATTATCATTTAAAAAAATGAAAATATGAGGCAGAAAATTATTATTATCATTACAGCTTGATATCAGTGTAACTGTTTGTTGTAAATCAATTTAGTGAAACATATTTCATTCGATGATATTAGATGGTTAGAGGCGATCAACCTAGGTTTCGTGCTGGGTGGCAGTTACCATTCAACAAGGCGTATCTGCCACCTTGAAGGAACTCATGTCTCTTATGATATTCGAATCCACGTCATCCCCCAGTGCCGTGTGCAGTCGGAGACGTTACCACTGAGCTATTCGGGCTCGCGATTGATTTCCTTCCTGTAGGACTGTATTGGACACTTTGATTGGACAACAGTAACTAGTGTGACGTTTCTAGTCCTTTCTTTGGTGAAGACTGAATTCTATCAGTCAGTCAGGTTTGCAGTGTGACTACCATTCTTGATAGCTCACCATCACGGTGAACATTGATTTGACGATATTAGATGGTTGGAGGCAATCGGTGGCCACATCGTAAATCTGACTGATAGAATTCAGTCTGCACCAAAGAAAAGTCTGTACACATCGCACTAGTTACTAAAGTCTAGTCAGTGCACATAATTCATTGATACAGTTGGAAGTGAGAACGTTGGTTGCTGCAAACTTCATTCTGCTAATCTGAAAGCCGTTGGTTTGAATCCTTCATTGCACCTTCAATCACTACTTATTACATAAATAGTAGTGAGCCAACTAACCACTAATATGTCTGACAGTGTTTTGACTACTTCACAAGAATCATTGTTTTCTTGAAAGAATTACTTTCAAATCAGATTGATCATTTGCAGTGTGAGATGTGAAATCACCATGGTTTCCTTCCGAAGCTTGACCACATATATGGAAATCAAGAAACCGAGCATAACTGCATGAAGATTATAATACTACACATCGAAATGATTAGTTAGAAACCATTGACATAGAATGCTAGTGCTTGTTAGATAGACCGAAGTAAACTAAGTGCTGGACGTGAGTAGTTCTCATCCCGACTACTTACAGTCCTACAATAAGAGATATTGGGTCACAATCTTCAACAGCCTCGTATTACGGTTACTTTTAAACCGAATCGCTATATATCTGAATCTGATTTTTACTCTCGTATTATGAAATTAATCCGTGATCGTCACTTAATTAGGAGATTCGATTTATAGTTCAGTTGTAATAAGCTGTGCTACTTTTGAAACTTCATACAGATAATGATCGATATTCTGTGTAGTGAAATTAACGTCGTAGACTACGTTGTAATAAGTTTAAGACTTCCTGAAACCAATCAAATCCCTACAAACCAACACTTAAAAACTTCCATATTAGTTTGTTTATTAGATATATTTTTAAGTATTGGTTTGTTGTAGGGATTTTGTTTGATTGCATGGAGGATTTGATCATGAGCTGACATCAGTTAGAGAACCACTGGAAAACCTGGGAGTACTGGACAGCTGTTTCGTCCTAGTTTGGTACTCCTCAGCAGTACGCACCCACCGGGATTCGAACCCAGGACCTTCTGGTTACAAGGCGAGCTCGTAGACCATTGAGCCACTGGGACCCGTTCTAGTGGGAAGCCGTGACCAGTAGGGTACAGCAGGTTGAAGATGAGGCAGTAACTCATCGAAGAAGACATTGCGAAGTGGTCGCGCTATGTCATGAACTGGCAGAAGTTAGAATTCAAGGACCATTGGATCGGGTCCCAGTGGCTCAATGGTCTACGAGCTCGCCTTGTAACCAGAAGGTCCTGGGTTCGAATCCCGGTGGGTGCGTACTGCTGAGGTATTAGATATATCACACAGTGATGAAACTATATTATCTACTGGATGACAAGGTTTCGAACACAATTTATTGTTCATAATCATTTCAACGATTATAATCACACGACTTCGAAAGCTGACTTTTATAGTTTTCTTTCTTCTCTCCTATTTGTCGTGATAGGCGTGGTGGTAGAACTTTCCACATGTCTGTGTGGACAGGTGTTGAATCAATCCTATTACACATATTCGCCTCAGTTGATTCGATAAACAAAGCTTCTGTTATCAATCTGTCCCTCCACCCTGTTAGTTGCATTAGATTTAAGAAAACTGTCATCTTTATCCCATTCAGCCTATTGTACGGTTGTGTGTAATTGCATGTAGTGCGTGTAGTGTAGACGGCTGAACTATTCTCTAGATTTTTTATCTCATTCGGGTCAACTAATCTAGATTTTGCCAGGTTTATTGTACTGGGCTAGTCTGACTGCCCCTGTCCTACTACTTTCACCTATGTATTTAGCCTGACAATCATTACGGCAAGAGATTAAATAAATTTAATTGTTTGTTTGTTTGTTTATTAACTCCACAGGCAGAATCCTTTAACAGACCAGGCTTGTTTCTAATTGAGTTTGTGGTTGGTTTGAATGGCAGCCACTTTTATTCCTGCCAGCATTGTTGAGAATTCTGCGTAAGGTTTTCGAGGATCCCTATTTGTATGAAATTACCTATGGTAATTTAGAATCCTTATTGTTGGTGGTGTCTTGCGCATCGTTCAGCTATAGCAGCACTACATGCAGTCACACACAACCATACAATAGGCTGAATGGGATAAGATGACAGTTTTAAAATCCAATGTAACTGGGTGAAGGGAGTGAGAGATTGATAACAGAAGCTTTGTTTATCGAATCAACTGAGGCGAATATGTGTAATGGGAATGATTCACCACCTGTCCCAGATATCTGAAAAACTCTACTAACCCAACGACGACAAATAGGGGAGAAGAGAGAAAACTATTAAACTCAAGTTTCGAAGTCGTGTGATTATAATTGTTGAAATGATTATGAACAATAAATTGTGTTCGAAACCTTGTCATCCAGTAGATAATATAGTTTCATCACTGTGTGATATATCTAATAAGCAAACTAATATGGAATAACTTACTACCACAGTGCTCAAGTTTTACACATATATGTTTAAGACTATTTTCTAATCCGTGTTTGGTATTTCCTAGTTGAATTTAGTTGTCAGTGAAACCTGTAATATTTGACCTTGGTCTATAATTGTCTAGCTTTTCGTTTTCTTTACAGTGAGCTTTACTGAAAATGCGTCGGTGGCACATCGGTTAGGACGCTCACCTATCATGCACATGGTCCGTGGTTCGATCCCCGGTCGATGCACTCCTTTACCTCGCTTAGCCAGAAATAATGCTGGTGAAGAGGAAAGGTTGGGAATGAGGCTAGCAACCCCATCCTGTAAAAATAAACACTGCTATAGAAACTTCAAGCTACTAGCTTGAAGCCTAATGTTCCACTGAGAACGTGAAGGAAAAAAATTATAATTACTGAAAATATTTCAGACTCTTTATTTGATTATAGTTGATAGTAAAATCTAATATACTTGTTTCTTTCAAGTTTATGACGTATAATTGTATTGGTTAAAATGGTTCAACTATGTTTATTCTATGTACAAATGTTCAGTAGTGCGATTAAAATGATCATTCCGGTTACATGATGATAAATGTTCGTAGTCAGATGGTTTAAGAAATGTCATTAGGCCATTCAAACATATAGGACAATTCCAGTTGAGATTTGTTCAGTGTCTCACGTGAGTCACAAAAATAAGGAAACATCGGATAGCACTTTCATTTTAATCTGGAAGATTTTATCAGTGTGTATTCATAACTCTATTAGATATTGAACCCAGAAACCTTAATGTTAGAAAGCGTATCTTCGGGCTGGGAGTCAGTCGTCTTTGAATTTTAATTTCTGTTACTTAAGTGTATAATACTACAGTCATCAGCTCTCAGCAGTGACTATTTTGTCCCCCACTCCCGAAATAGTGGACTCAACAGATTATTATTATTATTGTTCCCCTGGATTCCTAGTGGAACATAGGACTTCAACTGCACGTCTCCACTTGCGTCTGTCTTCCTTCTGCTGTACTTTTCACCTGCATCCATCCATGTTAGTCCATACTTTTTCAACTCCTCTTCACACGATCTCCTCCATGTCACCCACCCTTGGACGTCCCACTCGCCGCGTGCTTCCCTTCCGAGTTCCACTCGAGCAATGGCCTGACGCGCGCGCGATGTCACACAGCGGAATCCTCAGCGTGTGTTTAATCCATCGACACCTTCTCCTGCATATTTGTTGGTTAGCGATTGGTTCTTGCTTTGTCTGTTTGTTCCCATAGTTTCTTGTTGGTGATTCTTTCCGGCCCGGCCATCTGATCTTCATTATAGATCCAGCGAAGACAGTTGTTGATAAAGGACCCAAGGGATGATAACTATTTATTAGAACTCAAGGAAGTCCTTTCACACGGTGGTATGAATACAATGATATGATTATGAGCAATAAATTGTAGTCGAAACTTCATTCACCTATTTATACTGTATCACTGTGAGAAATATTAAATTAACTTATCTAATACAGAATTATACTCTACTTTAATGCTTCGATTCTACTCTTGCATTAGAGATATAAGAGCACCTTTACTATTGCGACTGAGTTTTATCACATCCATTGAAGCATTCTATTAAAGGTCACGATTGTTGTTTTGATCTCGATCAAGCATTCATCACTTTCGCATGCGACTGAGGCAAGTGGATACTATATTACGGTCTAAAAATTATTCCCTTAATTTAGCATATTCTGAAGGACAACGAGTAGATGTGGGTGGTTTATATTTAACTATGCAAAACAGCTTTGCCTCTTATCGCAGTTACTAAGCCTAATTCTAACTATTCCTCAATCTTCGTCCTAGTGAGTACCGTCAGTGATGTACAGACAAGAAAATTTCAATTTATTCTGTTAGGAGACACCAAATATCATGACGAGCTTCTTAGTTGAATGTATTCTCACTATTCTCATACTTTTGTATCCATAAAATATTCTGATGAATGAGATGATGCAACATTCTGAGTTGAGTAACTTGAGATAGAACATTGACGATGTGGAAGCAAGCTGCTTACATCAATGATGTTTTTTAAAATAAAATCAAAAATGTATCATAATGTATGAAAACACTGTATTCATATTTCTTACTATGGATGTATATTTAAAGAGAGTTAATATCAATATTTGATTTGCTCCTCGTTGCTGGTATCACAAATGTTACTCCAAATTTTGATGAATTTTCAAGCCTTATTCATGAATTATTGGTGACTAATTTCGAGAAGTTGTGTGCGTCGGTGGTTCACCTGGTGGAATACTCGCCAACCATGCATGTAGTTCGGGGTTCGATTCCCGGACGATGCACTCCTAAGCCTCAATAAGCCGCTAGTAAAGTCGATAGAAATGGAAGGCTGGATGAGAGGCCAGCAACCTTACTCTATAAAAATAAAACAACATTACAACCTGACTGATAGAATTGAGTCTGCACAAAAGAGAGGAATAGAAACATCACACCAGTTACTAGTGTCTAATCAAAATATCCACTACAGTCCTACAGGAAGGAAATCAATCGCGAGCCCGAATAGCTCAGTGGTAACGTCTCTGACTGCACATGGCACTGGGGGATGACGCGGGTTCGAATATCATACGAGACATGAGTTCCTTCAAGGTGGCAGATACGCCTTCTTGACTGGTAAGTGCCAACTCGTACGAAACCTAGGTCCAAGGCTTCCTGTGGCCGATTACCTCCAATCATCTACTGTCATCATATCAATGTTCACCGTGATAGCGAGCTATCTAGAATGGTGGCCATATTGCAAACCTGACTGAATGATAGAATTCAGTCTGCATCACACTAGTTACTAGTGTCCAGTCAAAATAAAACTTCTGCTACGGAAACATCAAAGCTCTAGCTTGAAGCCCTATGTTCAACTCTGAATATAAAGGCATAAAAAAATAAATTTCGAGAAGTTACTTATTTCCTACTGAGAAGTTGTAGCTGATTGTGTCTACAAAGTTGGGCATAGGGGGCATAAATATTCACTGATGAAAATGGATGATGGTGGCGCTGTAGCATAAAGTTACAGAAACTAGAATTCATGATTCATTTAAATTCTAGCCAATCCAGTTTCTATTAGTGTTATGTGTTTATTTTTGTATTAAGAAATGATTTGATTTGAGAGGCTGACATGATGTTGCAAGAGATGAAATAGAAGTTTCTAAGCTTTGCTTAATAAATAATAAAAACCTTTTTCGTGCACTAAAACTGGTATCATTTCTTGTTTATTCTTTTCCTTGACTTTTAGCAGCCAGTCCGAGTACTAATGTTATCTCTGTGGCGAGATCAGATGGTGCCTATGATGAATTCGATTCAGATGATTGATAAAAACTTCAGTAATTTGGATTTTTTTTTAAATATGTAACACAGTAGTAGGAAAATTCCTCTTAACACGCTTGAATGTCTTTCTAGTTTACCGCATAAAAACGTTGTTTTTTTTGTTCTTTTTTAATACCGCATCGAACTGTGATGTTTAAAACTTCTCTTGTAGAAATATATCATATTACGCCCAAACTTTACTTTCCTCTCTCCTCTTTGCTTGTATTCTCTTTTTCTTTTTAGTGTCTATAGCGTTTTCCTCTATCTTATGATAATAAGTGTCAGATAAATGCATTATGCAGAAGGAATTTAAGTATTTACTCTTTTATTGAATGCTAAAAACGAGACCGCTTAAAATAAATTTTTTTATTTTTTATTTTCCTTTTGACCTTCTCTAGTTTAGTTACTAAAATATGAAAATCTGTTACTTTGTTTTTGCTGTGAAGAATAAATGTAAAACCAAAATAGAAACCATTGAACAGTTTCAAATTAGTTTTACTGTATAAAAATGATAAAATAATACCAGTTTAACTGTCTACTTCCAATCGAGTCACCAGTGATTATCATTATTATTATTATTACTAATAATATTGATATTATTATTGTTGTTGTTATTGTTATTATTACCAACATTATTATTATTATTATCGTTGTTGATACTGATACTGTTATTTTTATGTGTGCTGATAAATTGTAGAGTTTCTGTTCTAGGGCTGTTAGAAAGCTTTCAACACAAAAAAAGACGAGTGTGCTTTCATTGGTTTTACTAACTAATAGACCAGGGGTGAAAACGTCTGTTTTCCTTCAAAATGGGAAACGAAACTGCGAACTATGTTGTAGGTTCTTTCTTTGTAAATCTTAAGGTTAACTTTTATGAAAAAGCCTCAAACTGTTTGGTATGCGCAAATATTTGTTTTTTCTGTTTCTTTTATCCCCATGACTTTAATTCATTAATTTGCCTCGTTTCTAATTCTAACCATCATGATATTACTGAAAGCCTTTTCCTTAATTCTTACAATAGGCAAACTTTGAGTTGATGAGAATATTTTTTCCAGTCTTGGTGTAGATTCCTTTGTAAGCCGCCAACTGCATTTAAGTAAACCATTGTTTAAAAGAATTCAAACACCACTGTAGCACTCCAGAGTTGAAAAGAGTGGAAGAAAAATACCCTACAAACGGTCTTCAAAAAAAGTGATTATTCACAAAATTTAATCAGAAAGTGTTTAAAATCAAATCACAGCACCGACAAGGAACCATCATCAAAGACCACAAGAAAATTCATCCTGCCACACATGAGAAATATCTCTGAAATAACAGCTAGAATACTGAAACTGTTTGATAAAGATATAGCACACATGTCAGCCAGCGTGATCACTTTATTTGATATTGAGTAAACCGAAAGATCCAACGGAAAAAAGGAGACAAAATTAATACCATTTTCTGAAATAAATCGTATGAACTGTAACAGGCATTACATTGGCCAAAGTGGGCTTCGCCTTTAGGTCAGAATCCACGAACACAAATCAGCCGTAGAAAGACATGATATGTATTCTTTCATATCAGTGCATATAGACAATTATGGACATCAATTTGATTGGGATAATTGTCGAAATCTTGGACAGAGGAAACACCAAAAATGCAGTCAGGGAATTCCTAAAAGCCTGGTACTCAAACGAATACGCAATTGACAAACACGTTAATACAGACGAAATATACTGACTAATAAAAAGTAAATCAGGTGACCAGAAAGTTTAAAATCCAAGTCAATAGAAAATGGTCAATACATATGTAAAGATGGTTACCGGGAGACGGAATTATATCACCACTCATGAAGAAATTTAAATCATTTCACTTTATGCTAAGTATTTTGCTGAAGATGTTGTCCAGAAGGACAACGAAAGCTGCGCAAATAAACCAACTAGCTCAAAGAACACCATAAATTGCAAAAGTAAACCATTTAAAACTCAAGGATTATTTCACTCTAATATGAAACTAACTAACTAGGACAGAGTATGCAGGACGTCATCAGGGATTGAACTAAGAGTACTTTGGCTGCAAGCTAAGAATGTTGGACACTACAAAATTAGACTTGAATTCAGCAACTGATAATTTATAGTATGCTGTAGTACATTCCATTGTTACAAGAATGAAGTATTTTAAGGAGACTGGCACGATTTGTTTTGAGTATTAGCAAAGTTTGGAATCGTACAGCATATATGTCCAAACCAACTTCACTTTTGACAGTTTGAAAGAATTTGGACATTGTGTATATGATATTCAATATAATAAAGGTTTTTTCTTTTTGTATTTCCCAATGAATTAAAAACAAAACAATACTGTTTTTCACTGACGTTTCGCTATTTAATGCTGCTAATAGCTTTATCAAAGTATTATTAAACCAGAATTTACAAATTCTCAGCTTATATATAACAACTTAATCATTGTTCCTCAGCATGGGGTCATTTTGGGGTTGTCAAATTGGCCAGTTGGTAAAGATAACAAAACCAAGTGTAGATTGTTGGATTTGATAAGTGTGTACAGTATACTAGAATATGGAGACGATGCTTATTCGTGATTAAATCTTGTGTGATATTTATCAACTTATGTGCTCACTACTTTGTTTGTCATTAGGTTTATGAAATCAGAAGGATATGTAAACACCTATTGATGATAGCTGCAGCAGCATACAGAACAGATCTTCTCTATGATTTCTGTGTATGTTCTAGATAACTTCTATTCTGTGAATTGTAAATTGTAAATCTCCAATGATATTTCCTGTTTTTAAAATTCTTTTCAGTAAACGTGATTGTTTCCTTAAATTGTTAGCATTATTATTATTATTTAGACGGTTTTTTTCATTCATAGATTTCGCTTCAGAGAATTACAACAACTTAGGTTGGTTCTCGTGTTCACTGCACTGAACTATGTCGGTTCAATGCGTTCAAAGAAGATACTTAGTTTTCTCTTTCTGTAACTTCAAAGGCTGAAGCATATCCAATTGAAACGGGTTTAACACTGATTATAGCCGTATCTGTAATGACACTGTTAGTTTATTCATCTAAACCGAATCAACAGTTCTTGTCTAGAATAGCAGCAGATAAAATTATAAGCTTAGAATTTCCAAATTCATATAAAATGTCCGTCTTTTCAGGTCAAGAAAATAATTACAAATATTTGTTCTACTAACTGTCGGTGCTTTTGAGATAGGAGCTAATTATTTCTGATAGACATAACAAATAAGTCTGTGACACTATTTCGTTTCATGTTACAAGTCTATACTGCGACAAGCCTATATTTATCCGGTGTTACAGTATACACACTTGCAAATAGAAACTGAATTCTGCTAACAGTACCAAATGTTTTCAAAAATCTAAGAGGCGTAACTGTTATTCAGTTTCATTTGTGAATCATGAATTTCGGTATAGCGGAAATATTCATTCAGACACCTATAAAACACAAAATAATTGAGCAAATAATATTCTTTTCGACAATTTCCTATTCTGGCTCTGCAATTTTATATACGTTTATATACATAGAATATTCTAGAGTAGTAGCCGATAACAATATTGGTGTTTATTAAATAATATCGATTTGTAAAGTAAGATCGATGGAATTACAGTTTATTAAAGATGCATAAGTTATAATTATAATAAAAAATATAATAGCAAATAGAACATTAACTAAAATTAAGGAAATTTCTACAAAAAATTTGAGGATCACTTGAACCTAGATGGACAAGGTGAGGATAATGTCTGAATCCACTTCTTTTGGACACGTAAATGTGAATCCCAACGGCCTCAGAAATATTTAGTAATCGAACTCTTAAGGCGAAATCAAAATTTTTTGGTATGCCATAAATGCCTTTGAAGGCCTCGTTAACATCAGTCTTGTGTTCTGTATCCACAAGATGTGATAGAATAGCTCTACAAATAGATTTTGTTTGACCTTCACTTAACCACTCAAGGTGATGTTCGGAAACCCGACGAGAAACACGCCTAATTGTATGACTTATGTAACTGGCTCAATCCACAGGAGCATTTAAATTGGTCGATACACATCGAAGAGGCGAAATCAGGCAGTTTATCTTTACTCCTGAACGTAAAACATGGGTGGTTTTGAAGACACAGTGTAATTCATCAGCAGGGAATGCTTCTTCACCGCATTTCTAAGGCATTGTATTAGTATGTCGCGGATGTTGTCTCCGACGGACTGAATTCGTAAGAATACGGCCTTTTAAGAATCTGTTGCTGCCTTGGGCTGCTTTGATTCGCTGTTTCTAGAAAACTCGAAATGCACAAGCACTGTACTGCTAATTTTCTGGTGTCAGCGGAAAACAACTTGAAATTTCTGACTAGTGATTCGTAAGTTTAGTAGAATTGCTAAATTACTTTATCTAGTTTAGTTGTTTTTGTGAACGTCGTCGGTTTTGAAAAAAAGAGTAATTAAATATAAAGGAAGGACGAGTGGTTTGTTGACCTTCAACACTTTCATATTTCTGGTGATGATTATTTCTAGAGCTTTCAGTGCTTATTTCTCCTGTTATGAGAACAGACTTTTACTTCTTATATAAATTGGCTTTCATAGTAACAGGAAACTGGAATTTTGCGATATATGTTCTGCCCAATTAATGGATAACATTTGTCTTGATTAACTTGTAGCTAACTGCCTGTAGTTAAGAGCCATTCAAGGATTGATGTTGAATTTCTAGACCCTAATGTAAAGTTTTGGGGTCAGATACTATGAATTAAGCTGCTTTTAGCTTTTCCTCACATTTCCTAACGTATCTCGTTCAAATAAGTCCTAATGAGTGTGTCTAATGTACACAGTATCATGAATCACCAAACTTCACAAATAGAATCCTAATGGGACAAAAGAAGCAATACAAACCAATACTTGAATACCAATGAGATGCTCACTGGTGACTGGCCCTATTCAGGTAGCTTGTTACCTGGGGTTCCCATGAGAAGTCATGACCAGTAGGGTGCAGCAGGTCGGGTGTGAGGACA